TTTTTTTTTTTTTTTTTTTTTTGGAAATTTGTAAATTTATGAAATTGGAGGGAGGGAGGGTCGTGAACGGAATCCGACATTGAGCAACAGAGCTCGAGAAGAATCCATGGTGGCCATTTCCCTTTACAGAGGGAACCTCCACAGGGTCCCCGATGTGCCTCGTCGCTGGCTTATGCCGATCCACAACATTTCTATTAGAGACTTCAAATCCCTTCTGCACCGTCGTTCAAAAGCCCTCTCTCGCCTCTTCGCCACCGCCTCTTCTTCTCCGGCTAAAGTTTCTACTTCCCCTAACTCTAATCCTAATTCGAATTCTTCAATTAAACCAGACGGTGAAGGACTCAGAAATAATGCGTCTGCTCCTGAGGTGCCATTGGAAACTGAAAGGGTTAGTGTTGGTGATGAAAGACCTTCTCCGCATATTAAGAAGAGGAAGAAGTCGGACATTGGCGATGATTGTTTGGGAAAATCAGCCGAAGGATTTGATTGTGTGAATGGCCCGAGACCTTGTTTTGCCGAGCAAGGTTCTGATCCAGTGGAAAATAGTGGCGCGCATTCTAACCAGGAAAATCATGCTGTATTAGAAAACCCTAACGAAGAGGTATGGATTATGACCACCTCGATTAATTTTCAATTTTTGTTTTCCATTTCATTTTGTGTATGCTTGAAGTCTATCGATCTTACCTGAGTTCCAAATTTTAGTGGTAGTATGACAAAGTTTTTTTGGATCGTCCTGAATTTTGGCGCGGTTGTGTTCTTGTTGTTATTATCATTATTGTTCTACATGGTGAGTTATTCTTGTTACATCTAAAATAAAGTGATTACTATTTAACGAGGCTTTCAGATAATTGGGAATGTTTTGAGATCACCATTGCTAACTGTATGCGAAGCTTGTAATGTTGTTGAGTGTTCTTGTTGGTATAAGAAAGTTGAGGTAGATGGAAGTAAAATCAAGAGCATTCTTGTTTTCTTGAACTGTGGCATTGAAGGAAGAGCTTCCGAGATTCTTGTCGATATAGGTCCCATGCCTCGATACCAGCCTCGGGTTTCTTTCGTTTTACCTTCTCCATTAATGTGTGTCACTGTGTTAGGCAAATGAGGAGGATTTGTTAGATGTCGAGGAGAACAGGAAAAAGGAAGTTGAAGAGAAGTTAAAAGTTTTGAATGAGACAAAACATAATCTTGTGCAAGTGTTAAAACAGGTATGTTACTGATCCTTCCACCTTGCCCGTCCGCTACCAAAATCCCCTTAACTACCTATGGGATTGATAAGTGAAGTAGGTCATTTTCTTGGTGTTGGTTGACAGATCTTCCATGTGGAAGAGGAAGTAAAAAGGCGTAGGAGTTTGCAAGGGACAGAAATTCGCGCTTCTGCTCCTCCTCTTCAAGCGGATGCCTCAGCCGATACGGGGTCGATGACCAGACCGCTTTCTCCTAGGGTAGCCACAGAAGTGAATGCTAATGGAGATACTGAAGGTGGAGAAGCTGATGATCTTTTGAACCAGAATGTTCTTTCTCGTCAGATGGTTCGGAACTGCAGTACGTCGCCTTCTTCAGAGTCTCCTCTTAGAAGGCCTGCCCACATACAACCTAATATGGTAATTGGTGTCACTATGACTTGCGTCGATTTCATTATAGCTTTATATGAGTTCATGATCAGTATCCTTGTTTTGTTGACTTTATGAGTGATTTTGCCTCTGGAACGTAAGAATAATTTTTATTGATGTTTTAGTCATTTGAATCACTGAACTTGCTCATACAAGATTTTATTTCTTTCTTGTGGGGGTGAGGGGTGGCCAGGTAAGAATGTACAATTCTCCCATGACTTATTACAATGTTAATAAGTAGAAAAAAATATAATCAAAGGGCTCAGTTGGAGGTTGTGAGATTCCACATTGGTTGGAGAGGACGTTGAACCTCCAAGGTGGGTGGATTGTGAGATCCCACATTGGTTGGAGAGGAGAACGAAACATTCTTTATAAGGGTGTAAAAACCTCTTCTTAGTAGACGCGTTTTAAAATCTTGAGGAGAAGTCCGGAAGAGGACAATATCTACTCATGGTGGGCTTGGGCTGTTATAGAGATGCTTTTGAATTCTCCTTAGGAAGGGCAAAGTTTCAGAATAATAGATTTTTTAGGGAGATTGAGAAGTCGGGTGAGGAAGTTTGGTGTCTGCCACTCGGCTTTTTCTCGACCATGAGCTTGGTCATGTTCTTTTGAATTGGAGTCATTTTCTGTAGTTAATCTCAGACTTTTTTTGCCTTGTTGGAGCTTGTTCTTTTATATGGCCGGTATGACATCAATAACATTTTTAGTACCTTTAGATTCATTATAGAACTTCTTTGGAATTCCTATCAAAATTATGATCTTTTACATTAAACTATCAGCTTCAGAGTTCTAGGCGATTCTTTGGTGGGTTGCATTCTGTGTCAGTCTAGATGTCTACCGAGAAAAAATGTATCTCTCAAGTTTAAACCATACCATCTCCTCTATGCTTGATGTGAAAAATCAAGCCACATTCATCTGTTTTTATCATTTTTCTAGTGAAGTAAAATACCATCATGTGCAGGGCTCGCATCCATCTCGAACAAATTTGAGCGTTACTGGGAGTCCATCGTGTTTACCTCCGGGCGGGCAATCTGGGCTTCCTCCAAACCTGCCCACACTATCTGTATCTGGAACCAACTACATTGCATCCTCACATTCTCCTGCAGCATCTGGGGGCATTTCAGTTCTCAGAGATGCTCGGCAGCCTAGCCCATGGAATTAGAGGTCGTCTCAGTAATTCACATTGATGAGTTCGTTTTGATTCTCGACTTCCTGGTTTGGCAGAGCAAAGTGAGTTCTAAGACTAGTTTCATGATGTATAGTCAGGTATGATGATCTACCCAGCTGCAAGTTTGCATTTGGGATAACTCATAACATCGTCCCGCTGGTGTTTTTGTATTTTTATCAAGTATATCACTGGTACAAAACTGTAAGGATGTTCGCTCCTTCACTTTTGACTTCTTGAACCTATTCTATTGGTAAAGCCCAAACTCACTTAGATGAAGTTGCAAGGACCTAACTGAAGATCGCTCCATAAGATCAACCTAACCTAGCCCAACCTACGTAAACAACCTAAAGGCTTGACTCGGTCTGAAGTAAGAAAAAAGTAGGATAAAAGAGTTGACATTGTATATCCTAAAAATTTCAATCAAACATAGTTGTTCATGCTCGGTTTTACACTTCGTGGTGTTCTTTTGGAGTAATACTTAACTGATTATGACTGTATGAAAACTTTTCTTTTAGAATTCCTTCGTAATATCATCCTTTCCTCTGCATGCATGAAGTATAAAATATTATATTTTTTTATGGAATTCCATTGGTTTGGTTTTTTTTTTTTTTTGAAATTTAAAAACTAAAATAGAACAATAAATTCAGTGGTCAATTTCGATAAGGGACTGTGTCTGCAGAAGCAGTTAAGTTAGATTGACCATCAACAGCCCCATATCTCACCCACACGACTACCCACCACCCTCTGCATTCCCAAGCTCTCAATCTCACAAATCCATGGCTTCTCACGAAACTTCCTCATCCATCGACCCCAACCGTAGAAACCATCCCGCCGCCGCCGCCGCCGCCTCCGTCGTCACTCTCGCCGCTGTCTCTCCCAACCCAACATCATCAAAACTAGATCCCATAACCCCTTTGTCGGACTCAGACAAGTTGTCAAAATCACACCCACCTTCCCCCAAAATGGTCGGCCCCAGAACAGTGCAAATGGTAGCCAAAAAACCCAACGAAGCCCCTCTGGAACGCTCTACCACAGAGAAATTCAACGACTCTGAAGAGAAATTCGAACGCATGATCAACTGTATCACAGCCAAAGAAAGGGAAATGAAGCAGCTCCTAAAGGAACATGAACATCTCACTCGCAGGCTCTCTGTTTCTCTTTCTTCATCACGGAGTGGAAGAAGAAGAAGATCAATCTGTGGCTCACAGATTGAATTAGCAGACGTGTTTGCTAACAACGGTGTCAAAGTGGTTTCGGCCGACATGCCGCCGTTTATGCAGATCCACGCTGTCGATTGCGCTAGAAAAGCCCACGATAGTATGGAAAAGTTCACTTCCAAATCCCTTGCATTGACTCTCAAGAAGGTACACACGAATCGATTACCCAACTTTTTTTTTTTTTAGAAAAAAGGGTCATTTTGTTCAGAATGTTGATTTGGGTTGGCTGAATTTGGCAGGAATTCGATGGGGTTTACGGGCCGGCATGGCATTGTATTGTGGGGAAGAGTTTTGGGTCCTTTGTGACACACTCAGTGGGTGGATTTCTGTACTTCTCCATGGCTCAAAAGCTTTACATCCTGCTCTTCAAAACCACTGTACAAAGAGCCAATTAGAAACACTCAATCGCTGATCATGTTTAGGCAGAGCAACAACTCTGTTTTTTTCTTGTTTCAACTCTGTTTACTTATAATTTCGCCATTGATGTTCATAATCGAATTGAAGGTGATGGGTATGGCGATAATGGTGTGGAGTGGTAGCTGCAGTAAATGCAGATTGAGATTTGAGTATTGAGATACATTTACAGACGATAATGATTGCAGAGGCGAAGGCCCACATCATTCATTTTCTGGGTTTGGATTTATACTCTGTTCTTCAATGTTCGGACATAAGGATGTGCAGATGATAAGATTTCTTTTTCCTTTTTTCTGGGGAAATTTGTTCGTTTACATCCTCGAATCCTTATTTACCACCTAATGGTTCCGATATTTACACAGACATTTGTCTACACTCATTGTGAGTGGAATCTAAATTTCAAATTCTAATCGGTATATCGAGCATGAAAAGTTGATTGGAAGTGGTAGGTAAGGTGAGTTATAGAAGATTCCAAATTAATGGTTAATGATAGAGTGAGAGAGAATGGCAGGGTGGGGCTGTGGGAATAGTAACTTAAAAGAGTTATCTTTTCTGATAGCTCCTATTCATAGGGCTAAGCTATGTTATCCCCACTGCCCATTCAAGGACTCTGACTGACTCATCATCAACCCACTCCCCACACCCTAACCCACCCATGGTTATCTAGTAACCTAAGCCTGGAATTGGGTTGGGCCTGTGGGAGTTTCAAAGTCCATTTGGGCCGAACTATGGGCTTGGGTCAGGCCCAAACAAACTGGGGAATCAATGAGATTAGGGTGACAAGTGGCAAAGCAGACAACACAGGGTGGATGTGGAAGGATGAGCAATGAATCAAAAGCTTGCATTTTTTATAGCATCAAATTGGAAGTATCTATATGGAAGGAAAGTGCTAAACCAACTTTCTGAATTTGGTTTAAATTTTGAAGTATTTTATCATCTTATTTGGAAATGACAATGATTTTTGCTTTATTTGGCAACTTTACCTAAAATTCAATTTATACACTTTTTAATACTTCAATTTCAACTTGATTGAGACCCGTGCCAATTAATTATTGATATATCACAGGAAGATATTTCTTGAATAAATTTTATTCGGCAACTTTTCAACCTAATAATTTAAAACATGTTTGGAAGGGATTATGAAAGGATTAGAATCTTCAGCCATCTTATTTGTTTGTTGCTTGTTGCTTCTAAGAGTAAAAGCTGCTCTCCTCACAAACCAAAGAGTCATTTTAACATGATTCTCTCCTAAAAAGTCACCCAACATAGAATTTCTCTAAGTAAACATAATTAAATTTAGAGTTTCTACGATTGAACTACCGAAAAGGAATGTTTATCTTATCGAGTTAGGTAGTAACTTCAATTCTTTTAAGTTTTTCTCAACAATACTGTTCTTAGGATCACTTTTTCCGAAGGAGAGAAAAAAGAGGAATCGGTGACTTTGGAAAGCAATGAAGATGAGAAAGGGAAGTGGGGTAAGAAACCATGTAAGGAAAGCTTAAAAGATCCTTTATGGGTATCAATTACTTGGGTATGGCTCAATGTTCATTTATGTGCTAACCAAGTTAGGCCTTGACAGTGCCCTTCGGCCTTAACTTTGCTGCACAATCCAATTTCATTTTCTCAACTTCAAGAGCTACAGACATAGCGTTAGGCAATTGATAGATAGTTCTCAGAGAGTTGGGAGCTATCTCAACACATATGTAGGGAGGAAAAAAGCAAAGTCTCGTCCCTGCTAGTTTTCTTTAGTAAAATATGAAAGCACTGAGATAAAAAGGGTGGTTTGGGATGTCTGATCGCTTTCGGCCTCATAAAGCTTCGATCTTTTCACTCATCCTTTGGGTCAAACATTACAGGTGAGAAAGAGAGTACAGTGGCGCCACCGCTGCCAAAAAGATCCGCCTCTCTCTCTCTCTCTCTCTCTCGGACCCCGTCTGAAAAGGCTACTTCTTTCCCGCCCTTCACTTCCCCGGCCCCCCCAAACTGCTTCATAAATAATCTCTCAGCTACCTACACTTCCACTCCAATTGGGTATCTCTATCTTCAATTACAGGCTAGAAATCTCCTCGATTTCTTATTGGGTGTCCCAAATTGACATCTGATTTGGATACCTTGCGAATGGATCTTCCACTTGTTAACGAATCATCCTTCTCCGCTGCGAATCCTTCTGCTTACAGCTTAGCCGCGATTTGGCCTTTCGGCGGGGAGCAGGGCGGGAACGCATTGGGTCTCCGAATGGCTAGTTTGAGTCAGAATCTTGGTGGGTTTCCCGAGAGCTCCACGAATCGCGACGGATCAATGGAGGAATCGACTGTGACGGAGCAGAGTGGCGGTGGGAGAAAGAGGAAGGATGTGAGCTCCGAGGATGAATCTTCGAGAATGGTTTCCACTAGTAGTGCTAATCAATTGGTTAGTTTTCATTTCCACTTCTTGTTTTTCTTCCTCAATCCCTTTTGCTCTCAATTTAGCTACGTTGACCCAATTTTGCCCTCCTTGGACAAATTTGTACACTGTTGGTTCGGTCTTTCACTGTTGAAAGGTGAAACTCTTTTTCTTTCTTTTTTGAAGGGGAGGAGCTCCCAAGGAAGAGAAAACAGCTAATAATCTTTATAAACCATTCTTGTTGCCCCTCTCTGCCAAGATTACCAAGAAACTTGCCCAAATGATGTTTGCAGATATTTAAAACTTGGACTGTTGATCATATATCTCGACACTGGCTACCTGCATTAAAGCACTTTTGTCTTTGAATTATACTAACTTGGCCTATTACTGACTTAATCAAGATAATAATCACCACTCCATTTCATACAGAGTAACTCAAATGGTAAACGGATGAAAGTGGTGGCATCCAGAGACGAAGGTGGTGGTTTAAAAGCTGAAGTAGAACCTAGCTCAGCAGATGGTAAGAAGCTGGCCGAGCAAAGCCGGAAACCCGAACCACCAAAAGATTACATCCATGTCAGGGCGAGAAGGGGCCAAGCTACTGATAGCCATAGTTTAGCAGAAAGAGTAATGTACTTTTCTCAGTTATTTGGAATTCAAATATCTCAGACAGTTCTTAGCATTCTGTCTAACAGCTTCAAGTTTCTGGTGGAGATTTGGAATGTTAATCTATCAATTTTGCCTGTTTGTCTTACTATACCCATTTGTGCAGGCGAGAAGAGAAAAGATCAGTGAGAGAATGAAAATTTTGCAGGACTTGGTTCCGGGTTGTAACAAGGTACTCTTTATCTGTTACTTTGTCTGCAAGTATCCTGCAGTTCTTTAACGGAAGGGGAAAAAAATGCTAAATCTAATTGATATAGAAGATGTAGAAGAGAAAGAGTAAATGTAACCGCCCAAATCTACCGCTAGCAGATATCGTCTTCTTTGGACGTTTTAAAACTTGCCTGCTAGAGAGAGGTTTCGACACCCTTATAAAAAATAATTTGTTCCCCTCTCCAACCGACGTGGGATCTCAGAGTAAATTTACTTCTAAACATGAACGATAGTTGCAACGTAGCCATCACCGTTGTATCCAATAAGCTTTCCTTCAAATCTATTACATCCTTCGTTCTTTCTATATCTGTAAAGTCAGAGGGATAAGAGGAGGTGAAAGCAGCAAATTGGGGAGCTAAAGAGAAGGAAAGAAATGAAAACTGCAGTAGATGAAGAAAGCCACTGAGAGGAATTAATATAGAAAAAGGAAAACTAGAGAGACGTTCCCATTGGAGTGTTCTAAGAAAATTAAGAAAAGAACACCAGAACAAAGCTAATCTATCTATGAGTTTGGTAGCAGTCATATTGAAAATCAAGTTCATATTATAATTTTTCTTTATTGGTATTTTCCTCCTGTTAGGTTATTGGAAAAGCACTTGTTCTTGATGAGATAATAAATTATGTCCAATCACTGCAACGTCAAGTCGAGGTACTTATTCTAATCATGGGTTTGTCCTTTCATTTCAGAACCTTTTCTCAATTTAATCTGAGCTTTGAATATTTGGCTCAAATTTGTAGTTACTCTCCATGAAGCTTGAAGCTGTGAATGCCAGAATGAACTTAAGCCCAGCCATAGAAGGTTTTACCGCAAAAAATGTAAGTTTCATTTCATGTATCAAGAGAAAAACAATACAAAATGGAGTACAATTAGTTGCCAATGGACATAGTAAACGAAGGAACAAAAAACAGATTCTTATTTCCTAAACTCTCTCTTCTAACGTTTCAGATGGTTAATCAACCATATGATGCAGTTGGAATATTATATGGTTCACAAGCGGCAAGAGATTATACCCAAGCTGCGCAACCGGAATGGTTGCATATGCAGATCGGTGGAAGCTTTGAAAGAACATCTTAGACCTCAATAGGCATCTTATAATCAAATGTCAAAATTGATTTTGCTTCCTCATTCAGTTCAGTAGATATAGATTTGTTTGATCATTCGGTATCAAATACTTGTACTATCGTCCCTTTGGGGACATCTGATATACTTGGAACGATCAAATACTTGAATTATCTGCAAAACTGAACCAACTTCCAATTTGTATCTTATTGACCGATAAATCTGTAGTGCAGTTGCACTGGAGTGACCATACTAAGCTTCCCTTTGTGCTCTTAATTTTGTTTGCTGCCATGAATAGATTTGATGAATCCAAGGCTCTACTCTCTCTATTATCTTGACATTTTAGGGAGCAACAGAAGGAAGGCAAGTATCATGAACAAATGAAGCATATAAATATTAACGCATGACTGCCTTCTAAACAGTAAATGAATTCACATTCAGGACTATGAATGAGATTATTGTGCATGGACATAACCAGGGACAGAAAAGTTTCAATATTCAATCAAATGGACAAACTGAGGACAGAACTAAGCAAACTTGGACTCTATGCTGTTGATAACACCATCATCGACTTGGAAGGTCTTGGTCAGAATTTCGAGAGGGATTGGAGGATTTGAAGCGAACAAAGTTCGAGAGACGATCACAGCCCCCGGCAACTGACTATTGAAAGCTGTGAGTAGAATGGCTTTGCTATGTCCAACATTATACTGGAAATGAACCAGTCCTCTGGGAATGATAAACATCTCCCCTTCAGTCAAAACCTTGTAATAGTACACATTACTTGTAGACACAAACCCAACAAGGACCTTCCCTTTAATAACGACAACACTTTCAGAGGCACGAGGATGCGAATGAGGTGCGTTTATTCCTCCCCGAGCTAGGTCGACACGGTTCATGGATAGCCCAAGTGTATTGAGTCCAGGAAATGCAAGAACATTTCCTTGTGTGGCTCCAAAGCCAAAAGGATTATCCGTGTTGCCCTCTTTGCTCAGTCCATCAAAGAAGAAATCATCTGAAGTAACTTTGATAGTCATGTCTGATTAATTGTATATTCAGAACCATTACTTCCTCATGATGGCATATCTGAAATAAGTGATTCAAAAAGAGAGGGGAAAGGCGTACATTTAATCATTTAACAGCTTCAAGGATTCCAAACTCCAGAATTTCAAGGATTTCATGAAGGTAGGCATTGTTAGAGATTGATTCTCGAGTCCAGTATCATACTTTCATTCTGCGAGGACATGACAAGTAGGAAGTAAGAAACCAAAGAAAAATTTGCTGTCAAAACAATTCATAGCCTTTTCAGATGAAAGAAATTACTTGTCCAACCCAGCTGAGCTGATGGGAATCACACCAGAAGGTGATACAAGAACATCGACTAAAACATCGTTCGGAGTGAGTGGTATAATTCCTTCATCCATTATCTGCACTGAATAGGACAGTGCAACTGCAAAATCATGCCAACTGGGCTAAGTGAAGTTGCAGGGAAACAAGGGGACGTGAAAGAGGAAACTATGGCGAGGTTAAACTAAAAAGAAGAGAGATTACACACATACCAAGGAGGGGCTGCTTCCAATTCCGCACCTTTGCAAGTTCTTGGTAATTCTTAAGGAAGGTATCGTAATAACTGTTATCATAACATTTGTAGGATAAGATTCATTTGCAGTGTATAATGTATAAGATTATACAGATTGAACATGGACCAAACTCTAAACAAACAAAGAGAAAAAAGCTAGAGGGAGATATTTAACTATCAAGATTTGGGAGTCACTGTATCTAGTTTCAACTTCAAAAATCAGCTCTAAATGTGTTATAAGTTCAGTAATAACAGCAGCAGAAAGAAACCTCAAAAAGGCTAAATGCAAGTACATACCCTCCCCCTCGGCCTAGGCGTCTTCCTGATTTATCAAATGCAAGTCCTGGCAGTAATCATCATCAACATATTAACAAGTGATTTCATGTTGCCTTATAACCTATAAATAAACCCTAAACGATCAACAAATTGATATAAATATCACACCTGGTAAGAGGAATAAATCAATGGGGTCTTTTGTCAGCATAACTGCGATGTTTAAATATCAACTGCGTTACATTCAAGATGCAGAGATGGATTATGTCAAATCATTTCTCTGTTAAGAACAGACAAAAAGAAGGAAAAAGAGACCATATGGATAAGAATAATGTTTCGCTGATATCAATTATCATCATACGAGTTCTGTTATAATACATGCCAAAGCAGACTCGTGTCTCAGCATTCCCCACCTTCGAGGAACAGCCATATATATATGGTGAACACCCTCCTTATTTTTTCTCTTCATTTCTCTCATAAACAACTGTCTGACCAATTATTTTCTATCTTAAAACAGCCATGATTCATTCGGTACCGGTAGAATAACCCATTCCAGGAAAACTTAACAATGCTATAAAAGGAATTTGACAAAACAAGTTGAGGATCTATGGGTATCAAAAAACATTAGAAGAATGAAACAACAGTTCCATGACCTGTTGTCAAGTTCGAAGAACATCCAGGGAAGTACCAGTGGTAGTTTTTTTTTGGAGACAAGTATTTAAGAGGTACTGGTTTAATGAATCTGTCAAAGATGCAAACCACCGAATGTTCAATTCTAGCTTACATTGAAGAATTAATAGATCAATTGACCATCCAATACAAAAAGGAATGATCTGGCTTTTTGCTGGTGATAAACAAGAAATATTTTTTATCAATGATGGTAAGGAAATAGTTACCTAGAGCTATTTGGAAAGCCATACTATTGCATTAGACGAGACCAAGCCAAAAAAACAAAAATATTAGTAATGTTACGAATATAAATGGCTTTAGAAGTTATTTTATGCAGGCACTATACACGAGTCTCGGCATCTTTATCCCAGTGCAATATATATTAGATTGTAGATTAATCACAAAAATCACGAGTGCCATCATAGAACTGGTGACGATAGTAAATGAAAGGCGAGAGACGGGGTGAAGTATACAGTTACCATCTTCACGTTCATTTCCATCACCATCCACTGGAGCTGGTTCTAAGATATTCATTGAATTTGCAATAAGATCATCCATACGTGAAATATTGAACATCCTCATGTGACTATTCTTGTCCTCCACACGCGGGACATATATCTTCTTCGAATAACCATCTTCAGATAAAAAGACAAATGTCAGCATTTACAAAGCTAAATAAGATCATACTACAATCAATAACTTCCCCGAACAAAACAGAAAAGCATTATCTCGTGTTGGGGTAGCAAGATAACTACATCGAGTTCAAAACATTACTTATTCATATCATGAGCAACAATTCTTCCCATATGTATTCTGCATTCAGATCAACAACGTCAAATAGTCTCTGTTTGAAGTTGAAACCATTTCCAAGCATAACAGTTATATTCTCCTACACTAATTAGTTAAATTAATCTATGGCCTAGTTTAATAACTATTTGGTTTTTGAAAATTATACTTAGTAACATGTTTTTGTTTTTGAAATTTGACTAAGAATTAAAATGATACCTTGAGAAATATGAAGAACATTGTAAACAAATTAAGTCAAATGGTTGTCAAATGGACCTAACTAATTGTGTTTAATTTATTTGATGTAAAACTTCAAATATGAAATCTTTCATTGAGCTTTACTGTCTTAGTTGCCAAACGAATCCTTGAAACTTGGGTTATCTCATACGCATAAATGATTAAGCGGCTAATAAGTTTAAGAACACACCTTTTGGTGGATGTTGCAGAGTCTCTGATAATATTCTCGACGTATCGACTTCCCTTAACGCACTGCAACTCACATAAGCACATAATCTCTGACTAGATTTAAACCACGGAGCTTCCAAAACGATATTCTGAATTGCATTGTCTGAGAAACAAGTATAGAGCCCAATGAAAGAAGGCAAATGAAGTCTTGGATTCTGTTGATTCAGAAACATCTTAAAACGATATCCAATCAACAATTCTATTACATGAACTAACATTTTCAGCAGGGGCGAAATTAATCGATGAAAATAAGTGAGTAATTGGTACCTTCCTGTGATCTGAGGGAGGGGTCCATGGCTTTGAGGGCCTTGCGAACGCTCGATCGAATAACCCGTTTCTGCTCGAATAAGGCCTTCAATTGCTCTTCATTTTCTGGTTTGATACCCTCGTTACGCGCCATTTTCGGGGACCTAGATGAGCAACGCGATAATGGACGAAGTGCTGGTTGGAAAGCTGTGGGTGGGAGACGATTGAACGGTGAACTTGCTGCAATGGGTAGTAGTTTATAGTTTCGGACCATCGGGGATTCGGAAACTGCCCGCCTTCTGGCTTTTGGGCTCCGACCCACGTGCACTCCGGCTGGATTTCGCGGGTTCGTCAATCTAGAAGCAGTGGTCGAATTTTGAAGTCCATGTACTGGTAAATTTGTCTTGTTTCCTTGGAGAAGCTGAGATTTAATCATCAAAAACAAAATGCTCCAGTTTCAAACAATAACGAATTGCTTCTATTTGCCACAATTTGGACTCCTTCAAATCACAGGGATGTTGTGCAAGGTTAATATTGTGCTGAATAAATAACATTCAAGGGCACCCAACATTCAACAAGATCAACATCAACATCAACATCATCAAAAAGTTCACTATGAGTTCCACGAATTCTTTTTTAATTTGAGTGTATATAAAATAATCAAGCGGGAGCGCCAAATCTACGGACCTTCAACTAATCACACTAAAAGACACAAGATTGTGTATATCAAATTAAAATGGGTAACAACTTATATTTAGTCATGCCAGACATGACCTCATTAATGTTTTTTCTCGACCTTTGGACAATAAGTTTCTAATGTATTGGACACGTGATGTTCGGATATAATTAAGTATGGACATATCGATTCTCTTATTTTATGACAGCGAGGACAATTGCTTCGATTACTAGTAAAAAATACACCAAATTTATCTTTATGTGCTTGTAAGTGGGACAAATAGTCAAGAACGGACAGTAAATATAGGTACTAAAAAAATTACATAAATATAAGTTTAGGCTCGTATTGATAGTACTTAATAAATGTACATTAAAAAAAACAATTTATTTAAGTCGATAAAATAAAATAAATGTCTCGAACCAATCATGATAAATACACCTCTACTCTTTATTTGACATCTATGTTCAAATTCAAAGGTCTCCGTTAAGTTCATCACTGGATATGTACTAGCAAACATCGAAATATGATATACATGGCCACATCAAAATTATCCCGAAGAGCAAAATCTTACATTTTTTTTATTTTTATATTTACACTATATCTTCTTAAATATAATAAAATTATAAAATTATAAAAAGAAACGAGAGTTATACACACAGAGTCTTACTTTCCTAAAATGTTCGTTTAATGGAATATAATTTAATTAGTTAAAGTATTAATAAAATTCATATATTTGTATTTGAAAAAAAAAAGATAATTGAATTAAAAAAATAATAAATCACTATTGTTATTTATTAGACCGGTTATTTCAATTATTGGCATGTGAATAAGGTATCCAAATATTAATTATATTATAAAGTATTAATAATTGAATACTGTAGCGTGACGCTTAAACCAATAATAAAAAAAGGCAACGTCATATGATGTAAATATAATTATTTATAAGTAGACCGCAACACTATAGATTATAATTGGGCTGCCTTTGGGACCAAAAAAAAAAAAGAAATTTTCTTCTTCCTTTTAAGAAAAAATGATCGCATATATATTTTTCAAAAATTTCAAGGAGATTTCAATGGCAGTGGGTCCCGACGCAGGAATTGATCCCAGTCGGATGCCACGTGGCATAGATTCTCTACGGCATTCGTTGTGTACCTAATGGTGGAGCCGTTGACTGAAGGGTAAACGGCAGATCAGACGGCTGAGATACTGGCTTCTACCCGGAGGCTGATCGAACCGGAAGGGCCCTTCCCAGGTACCCAATCCCAATCCTCTCTCCTCAGAAGAGCTCCACAGGGGGCGCCAAAAAAATAGAAAGAGAAGAGAGAGAAAAACCAAAGCTTCTGTGTCAAAAAGAAGAGGGAAGAAGAAGAAGAAGAGCAATAAAAATAATCGACAAAACACTGAGAGACGGATTAACGGGCGAAGTATTTGAAGAGCTTGAGCTGCGGTTCGGACTGGTTCTTGGGTCAAGCATGGAGCTTCAGAACACAGTGAAGGAAGCCCTAAACGCACTGTACCATCACCCTGACGATGCCTTCCGTATGCAGGCCGATCGGTGGCTTCAAGACTTCCAGCGCACTCTTGATGCCTGGCAGGTATTGGTTTCAATCACTTCATTGCTTTTTGGGCAATAGATTTCACTTGCTCGATTGGAAAAAGTGGTTGAGTGGACTTTGTGATTTGCGACTTTGATGATTGGTTTAGTGTTCTTTTGTTTATATCTCGCCTAATTCTATTGAAGAAGTAGAGTTTGGGGAGTTTTAGTTATCGTACACAATGCTTCATACGCGTCAGAGAGTAAATTCTGTTTAAGGGATGTGTACTTTTTTTTTTTTTTCCCATTTTCTGCTATTAATCATTCACTTTGGAAGTTCTCTTATTTCCTTTTTTCTGTTCAACTCCACTTGCCTGCGGAGAACGTTGGCAAAAGTAATTCCATCGAACTTAAGAATGCGACTTCTCCCCCCCCCCCCCTGTCATTTGGTCTGTGAAAGTTTTTTTTTTTTGGGGGGGGG